CCCCAAAACCCCAAAACCCCAAAACCCCAAAACCCCGGTGGCTTATTTAAGCATTGATATCAATTAATAAAATTTACAAATAAAATGAGCAAAAGAAACAACATGATTGATAACCCAAGTGGTAAGCTCCTTGGAAGAGCTAGAAGGCTTGAAAGTTCCCATATTCATAATCCTTCATGACAGTGATTTCTCTTAAATCGAAGGAATGGAAACTCTTTGAATCTCTGTGCAATTAACCAAATATTAAACCCGAGTGTAGAAGAGACGAAAGAAGTAAAATTACAAGATCATACTACAGAGGAGCAGGACCATGAGCCGGAAAAATCCTCTACTCTTTATGTGGTCTCTAAGAAACTCGAGAATCTTGCTATAGATCTAGAGCAAGCGGAATGTGATCTTTTTAATGCCCAAAAATACTTGAAGGAAAAGGAAAACTCCCGTGAGGAAGCCCAAATATTAAATAAGCAAGCTGAAAACACCCTGAAGAAATTATCATATTCTATGAATTCGGCCTGTATAGACTATGACGTTGCTTCAATCCTTGTGCAATTCAAAACATCAGAGGTAGAGATGATTGAACAAGAGATTCTTAAGTATCAGCAAAAATTTGATAAATTATCTAAATCTGAAATTAACGAAGAGAGCAAAGCAAAAGTGAATAAATCCTCAGAAATGGCCCAAAGAAGATCTAAACCCCCAAAAGATGATGACAAAAACAATAATGTAGTAATTGAAAGCTTAAAGGCTGAAATTGAGCGCTTAAAGGCTGAAAATGCACTCTTAAAGGCTAGAAATGAAATCTTAATAGCAATGATTAAAGAAAAAGTTAGAGATCTCTCAAAAATTAACAAGAATCTCATAAAACTAGAGCTCATGCTATCACAAGAAGATAACAGATAATTGCATAGAGATTTTGTAAAATCAAAACCCACTTAGAAGAGAACTTTACTATATAACTCAAACTTTAATATGGGAGTAAATTTTATAACATGTTTCAATTTTAACATCATAAACCGGGGTTTTGGGGTTTTGGGGTTTTGGGGTTTTGGGG